TTTTTTTTTTTTAATCTGGGAAGCAAACAGTCACTTATATGCGAACTTTCAAGAAAATTAAGAAGCTGCCTCCTCAAACAGGAAGACACAGATTTATAAAACACTAAAACAAAGCAATGAAGAAAATGGTAAGTCATAAAATAAGCTCAACACAGAAAAGTAAATGAAACAAAGAAATCAGCACCAGCACAAAAAAGTACAGCAAAAGGACAGTAATAATTACACCAAATTTGAGTGGATTAAATGCACCACTCAAGCAAGAAACAGAGCAGCAGAATGGCTAAGAAATCACGTCCCATCAATATTCGGTCTGTAAGAGACACAGCTTGGACATAAGGACAAATACAGACTAAAAACATAAGGATAGAACATATATATTCAGCAAATAGCAATTAAAAAAGAGCTGTAGTGGCAACATTAATTTTTTTCATAAAATAGACTTCAAGGCAAAATCCAGCACATATTCTATAATGATCAAAGGGCCAACTGAACAAAAGGACAAAACTATAATATCCACATAAAGACATAGAGATACAAACTACATAAATGAAACTTAATCAGCTATGAAGAGAGAAGTATACAAATCTACAAAAATAGCTGTTGTTGCTATTGTTAAGTGTCATCAAGTTGCCAGCAACTAATTTACAACTCTAGGTACAACAGCTCTGAACCCTGCTCTATCTTGAAACAACCTCATTGTCTCTGACACCCCCCCCCCATTATCCCATTCACTGAGTCAATCCATCTCATCCAGGGTCATCTTCTCTTGTACTGTCCCTCCACCTTTCCAAGCATGATGCCCTTCTCCAAGGACTGGTCCCTCCTGCAACATACCCAAAGTAGGGAATGTCAATATATGAAGGATAATATAACAAGAAAGAAACTCAACAAGGACACAGAAGTATCACCAATACAACTGATTTAACTGATCTCATAGACATGCATAGAACACTTCATCCAACAAAAGCACAAATATCTATTCTTCTCCAGTGTGCATGGAACATTCTTTAGAATAAATCAAATATTTCGTCACAAAGCAAGCCTCAATAAATTTAAAATACTGAAATACTACAACACATCATCTCAGATGACAAGGCTATAAAACTAGAATTCAATAACAGGAATTTCAAAAGGGGTAAGTATCAAGCATATTATAGCTAAATAACACCTAGATTAAAAATATTAAATAGGGTGGGTAGGGAGAAAAGTGCAACAATGAATGACTAGAAATCCTAAGTCTCTGTAAACTTTCATTAAAATTATTTTTTTTAAATCATTGGATTAAAAAAAGTTTTTAAAATAAATTAGATAATAGAAGAAACAAAAAGTTTCCTGGAACAAATAAGAATGGGGGAAAAAAATCAAACACACACACACATATCAAAAAAAGGAAAAAAAATACCTAAACATTTCAGACAATTAGAAAAATAACACTAAGTCTACAGTCTCCAGAAGAAAAGAAATAAGAAAGACAAGAACAGAAATAAACCAAACAGGAAAACAACAGAAAGAATCAACAAAGACTAGAAGTTGGTTTTCTCTAAAAGGACCGAGAAAATCAAGTCCCTGGCAGATCTAACAATGGAAAAGAAGACATACATAATACCAATGAGGAATGAAATGGGGAATGGCAGTGCAGAACCAACGGAAATAAGAAAGGACAAAAGGAAGCAGTTTTTGAGGGGAATCGCATCATCCTTCCAGATCTGTAACAAAGTGCTTTTGGATGTAGAAACAAAGAAACACAGAGGGGGAGGGGGAGAGAAAGAAAGAAGGAGAGGGAGGGAGAGGGAAAAGGGGAGGTAGAGGGATAGGGGGAAGGGAGGAGA